TCTGACTATGAAATTGGGAGTCGAACTGCTGCAGGCAGCCCTTCAAGGTGAGTTGAGTTCCCAAATTCAAAGAACTGTAGGTAGTTTGTTCTCGGTCATGTTTTGATTATGGCTGTATCATCTTTCCCTCGCCTTACTAACCTCATGATTCCTTTTCCCTGCTTTTTTTTCCTTAAGCAATTTTGTGAAGGATCAGTCTGCTGTTGCACCAGTAATCTCAAACGAGTCACCTGTACCAGTGAATCTCTCGTCCAATAAAAATATCTCCTCTTCACCTCCTACGAGAAGACAGCTGAACAGTCGAGTTCCAAATCTACAAGTCCCCCATCATGGTGCCTTTTTCAGTGCTCCAGATAGCTCAATGTCAAGTCCCTCTAGAAGCCCAATGAGATCTTCCCGTTATGAGCAAGTTACAAGTTCTGCTTTTACTACTGGAAAGCATTATCCAGATCTTTTATTTCTTGGTTCTGGTCCTTGCTCCAGTCCAGGCTCAGGTCAGACCTCTGGGCACAATTCAATGGGAGGAGATATGTCAGGGCAAGTATTTTGGCAACCCAGTAGAGAAAGCCCAGAATGTTCACCAAATCCTAGTCCGAGAATGACAAGCCCTGGCCCTAGTTCCAGAATTCACAGTGGTGCTGTTACACCACTTCATCCAAGAGCTGGCGAGGGACACACTGAATCGCAGACTAGTTGGCCGGATGACACAAAACAACAAAGTCATCGCCTACCCCTTCCTCCTTTAACAAGTTCCAATTCCTCAATGTTCTCTCATTCGAACTCAGCTGCAACATCACCTTCTGTACCCCGTAGTCCTGGACGAGTGGAAACTCTTACAAGCTCTGGCTCACGTTGGAAAAAGGGAAAATTGCTTGGTAGAGGCACATTTGGGCATGTTTATGTTGGTTTTAATAGGTGAGGGAATCAGTTTAGTGCCTTGATCTTTATATGTTATGGAGAATTCATCATTTGTGTTTTTATGCTTTTAGATGGAAGGTCTTTGTTCCTATAACAGGTCTTTGGAATTCTCAATCCATCTGTACCATTTATTAAATTATTTAACATATTTATTTTGTATCTATGTGTTGGTTTTTTAATATATTCATTTCCTAAAGTCGATAACTGATTTTTATATTACACATTTGGCCTTCTGATGCTTTAGTGAAACTGGCGAAATGTGTGCTATGAAGGAGGTGACATTATTCTCAGATGATGCGAAGTCGAAGGAAAGTGCAAAGCAGTTGGGACAAGTGAGTTTTAAAGCCATTTGATACATGGAGAGGTTTTTATTGGTTGCAATTTTCACGTCAGTTTTATCCATTAATGCCTATAACATTCATTTCTGTTTCTTACAGGAGATTACATTATTGAGTCGTTTAAGGCATCCAAATATTGTGCAGTATTATGGATCTGAAACGGTCAGTTGTATTCTTGCATACCTCGTCACCCTTCATATAATGATGCAGCTTCATATATAAATCTTCTAATCTGAAATTTGTGTCAACAAATTTCTTATTCCATATTTGGTTACAGAAAGTACTTGCAGTTGACTTAGTAGGCACAGTTCTTTGACGTATTATGAAATTCGTGGAAATACATCATTAAATGATATCTATATGAACTACCATGTTGACAACGTTGGTCATAACTTTCTGTGTAAAATGAACCTGACTGCTAAATAGGCGTGAAGTTATTTTCCTTGTTTTTCCACTGCTTCTGAAATTATTTTGCTTAATTAGGTGGATGATAAATTATATATCTATTTGGAATATGTCTCTGGTGGTTCCATCCATAAGCTTCTACAAGAGTATGGAATATTGGGAGAATCAGCTATCCGAAGTTATACTCAACAAATTTTGTCGGGGCTTGCATATTTGCACGCCAAAAATACTGTGCATAGGTAAATTTGATTTCCTTTATGTGGATAAGTTTTCAGCTTCTAACATGGTTGTGAACCTTCATTTCCAAACATGTCATCTGGCACTTGTGCTGTTTATTTACTGCAGGGATATTAAGGGGGCTAATATCCTCGTGGATCCAACTGGTCGTGTCAAGTTGGCTGACTTTGGCATGGCAAAGCATGTAAGTGTGACCTTCTCTTTGAACTTCCTTCAGTAGCTATTAATTGTCAAGAGATGAAAACAATCCATTCAAAGGGCTTACCCTCTGCAAAAGAGAACTCAGAAGAACTACGTAATGGGCACTGCCAACAAATTTCCAAATGCAAGGAAAAATGGAAGCAACACAGATTGATAAGCCTTTCTTGTTATCAGATAATGTGTATCCTAAAGAGGACTGTAATAAGGAAATTCAACAAGTGAAAATGGCTGTTCATTGTTAATTGAGGAGATATAACTGCTGTTTTGACTTTAAATTAGCACCACGTGACGTGACTCCATAATACCAAGATTTTTACTTTATTTGCTATTCCTGTCACCTTAGCTTCTTGAACTCTAATTTTCAAGTCTATTACACATCTTAATATTAACGTTTTAGGAATATTTCTCAGTTGTTTTTTGGTTTCTCATCAAATAGAATTTTCATCCTATGATGGTATTAGTATTTATGTGCATTTTTCTGTTTTGCAGATCACTGGGCAAACCTGTCCATTATCATTCAAGGGAAGTCCTTATTGGATGGCACCTGAGGTTGGAAATTTTTTCTTTTGTCGACGACTGTAGCACTATATGGCTTTTTTTCCAGTTCTATAATTGCATTTCTTTCCTGCTTTTTTAGGTGATAAGGAATTCAAAAGGATGTAGCCTTGCTGTTGATATATGGAGTCTTGGATGCACCGTCTTGGAAATGGCCTTATCAAAGCCTCCTTGGAGCCAGTATGAAGGGGTCAGTAATTTGAACTCTGATTTCTGTAAAATTTACCTTTTTTATTTAGTGTGTTGCGTATCTGATGAAGGTGGCAGTGTAGTACTTTTACCGTCACCTAGTGCATATTATTGATAGAATGAGAACTTGCAACAATTAATGATTGGAATATGTTCTCTGGACTTGTTTTCTGGCCTGAAGGTTGCCGCCATGTTCAAGATTGGAAATAGTAAAGAACTCCCAACAATTCCAGAAAACCTCTCGGATGAAGGCAAGGATTTTGTGAGGCTGTGCCTGCAGCGGAATCCTTCGCAACGTCCTACTGCTGCTCAGCTGTTGGATCACCCGTTCGTGAAAAGTGCGGTGCCTCCAGAAAACTCGAAATTGGGATCTACACCACCAGACCTTCCCATGGTAACAAATGCTGTAAAATCTGCGGTATAGTCATTTTTTATGTCACTTCTTCACTGTGCTGAGATTTGTGATGACGATCTATTTTTGTCACCTGGATCAATATTGGGTACTTTTTCAGACCAATGTTCTAGCTAGTTGAAACATTTTTTTGGAAGTATGAAAATAAAATTGTTATATGACCCCTCGGCAACTTCATTGTTGGGTGTAAAGGAAAAATCCTAGCTCTGTGGTTTCAGGATTCCAATCTTCTCCTTCCCAGTGAACAATTTCATTTTTCAACTTACAATACCTTAAGAAAGAGAGAAACCCTGAAATGATTTAAATACAGAATCAGGTTATGAAGCCTTTTCTTACCAATATCTATAATTGTTTTTGACGTATTGTTTATGTGCAACATGTGAAGTTCAACTCAAGTTGAACCTTTATTTTTTTGCCTTGTATGTTTTCTTACATCGTTGTCGAAGGCTTTTAAGGTGGATGGGAGTGTTCTTGCTTGTCGTTTGAGACAGTTTGGCCACTTATATATTTACTGCCACTTCATTTTTCAAATTACTTATAGGGCATTGGACACGCGAGAAGTCTTCAACTCTTTGATTCAGAAAGACTTGCTATCCACTCATCCAGAGTATCAAAATCCAATTATCATTCCAGGTGCTTCTCTCACTCTCTCTGTTACATGCACCCCCACCCTTTCTTCAACTGAAAGAAACTAGTCAAAGTCTTTGTTAATGCATCAGAACATTTCTAAGATATAGTGAAGGACGAAGACATAGTGATATTTGACTTTGTTTACTGATTATATTCTCAATATTTCCAGCGATATTTATATTCCAAGGAACGTGTCGTGCCCCGTCTCACCAATTGGGAGTCCTCTTCTACATGCAAGGTCACCTCAGTACCCGAATGGGAGGATGTCTCCATCGCCCATATCTAGCCCCCTCACAACTTCCGGCTCATCCACACCTCTCACCAGTGGGACTGGCACCATCCCGTTTCATCTTCTTAATCAATCTATATTATCGCAAGATATTTTTTCTAACTTGCCTAAGGCCCCGACCAGTCCCCGTGTGAATAACCCGCCCTACTGGGATCCTGACATTTTTCGGACGGCACAATTGGGTTCTAATGCTTTTCGGGAACTGACAACGAGTGATAAAGATGCTCGAGGAAATCAGTTTGTAATGACTGCCAATGGAGAAATGTACGACAGACAATTGATCTTGGCTGATCGTGTATCTCAGCAACTCCTACGAGATCCTGTTAAGCTGAATCCATCTTTTGATCTGAACCCTTCCTCTCCACTGCCAAACCACCGCATGGATGGAGTCTAACTTGTTTTGCTGTTGAGAATGCCGTTCAAGGAAGCTTGCTTATGAAGTCACATTCCTTGTGTAACAAGAAATGTGGCTACAAACACTAGGGACCTACTACAGATGTGTGGCCGCTTCTTCCGCAATCACGAGATTAGGTTTTGCTAATAGTTTACTGCACACAAAGTCGAATTAATGTTGAAAATGAAAAATTAATTTTCCTGTAGTGGATAGGTTCGGGTGTATAGCTGATCCTGCACTGAATCTTTGGTCTGGGGAATGTATATCAATTTTATTGCACAGAAGAGAGGAGAAGAGCAGAG